CCGCCCCGCCACCCCACCGCCCAACAATCGCCCGTCGTCCCACCGTTGCTCCACTGCGACCCCTAAATGGCCAGCCAACCCAACCACTATACACTGCCACCCCTTTCTCGCTCAATTATTGATACTTAGCATCCCACTCAGCTTTTTACCACCCACCCCCTCAACCCCTACAACCCCCTCACCCTATTTCAGCATTTCCACCCTTACCACCCCCGCCAGTTGTATTCCCCGGTCTCATTGACTTCTTGCTCTCATTTTCACGAGATCTGGGCCATCCATTCGTTTTTTTTCACATCATTAGAGACTAAAGGTACAGTGACGTACACGCACTCCTCGGAAAGGGGGTGGGTAACAGCCAAATGGAGAGGAATGAAGGGGGTGAGGTGGAATGGTGGGGTATTGCGGTGTTGTGGAGGTATCAATAAGGCCTGCGGCCAATGTGCTTCCTCAATAACTCCCGATTACTTGTGGTAACCCCTGATTTTCCTCCGTCGTATCCAGCTAATGAATATCTCGCGGTACACCCAATGTACGATCGATCATTAATTAGATCCGCACTTTTGTCTACGGCCAGTGCTTTCTTCGGTGACTTTTCACTTTTTTCACGGTGGGAGCACCGCAGTTTTGCTTCCGGTTTTTTCACGCTCATTCTTTATCAATAACTCCCCTGTTTCGCGCACTTTTGCTTCTCAAATGGGATTTTTTTTTTTATTTATTTTTTATACTTCTTTTGGTTTTATTATTTTGGAGTTTTTTTTTTTGTATCGGGGAAAGTATTCTTTTGTGGAGATTTACTTTGCGTAGAAATCACTGGGCTCTCTTCTTGGATTTGAAAAGAGAGGAATTGAGGAAAGTCGGGAGAATGGGAGGTGGAAATAAAAAGAACTACGTGGGATACTGGAGGGCTCGAGAGAAAGGGGAAAAAAAGTTTCTCCCGAGAGCACAATGACGCTCCATTATCACTGACTTCCCGTCAAACTCTTCGAATTCGTCGTTAGCATTACTCCCTTAAACGAGCATTCGAGGACTTCTCAATCCCCATATAGAGCAATGGGATCTGCAAGTCTTTTTTTTGTATTCAGAGCCCCGGAGGGTGATCCCCACGTTCGAAGGGCGAGAGAGTAAAAAGAGAGGAACGAAATGGAGGTGTCGCGATCAACAGAGAAATCCGTTTTGGTCCACCAGATGCCAATCGTCTTGCATCTATTTTTTGGAATCCATTGAAATCCATTTGAAAACATTTAAATTATAATTGATATTTGTGCAAGTGCAGAGATCCATTACGACAGCAAAAATATTTATTAAAAAAATTAAAGTTTCAAGTAAATAACAAATGTGAAGAAATAAAAAGGAATGACGAATCAGTCGATTGATTTAATATTCAAGGAATTTTCTATTTTCTGAAAAAAACTGAAAAATCGGAAAATCCTGAAAAATCTCCGAATAATTTCTCTTAATTTTCCGTTTATTGAAAATTGAGTCGCGGTTAATGTTTTCATTCTAAAAAATAAATTGCAATGAAAATCCACTCGAAAACCTCAATTTTCATCGATCTTCAAGATCAATAAAAAATCCCATAATAAATAAATAAATAATTAAAAAATTTCGCGATGCATTTATATCAATAATAACAATAAAAAAGCGAGTACTTTCTATTGAATTATCTGCATATATAATTGAGTGGAGATTACACAAGTAATCGCGTGGCAGGCGGCAGTAGTCGGCGGTCTAAGTGTATTAGACATCGGAGTCTTTTTTTTTTCCACCGAGGGGAGAAGTCTTCCTGGGGTTTAGCGAAAAGAGAGGGTAGAGGCAAGAGGGAAAACCGAATGAAGAAGGTCCAGGGGTTGGCGTATGGTCGACGAGAGTCCTGTAACGTCCTTACCCTCTCCCCGCGTAATGGTACCCTCGGGGTATACCCGGAGAAGCCGTATTTATTATTTAGTCGAGGTTACCAAGAGCCAAAAGGGCTCCTTCGACACGTGGAGTTGTGGCGTGTTATTTCTACTTCATTCTCCCCAGATATACAAAGACGCTAGGATCCGGACGATTTATCCCGACGGTCCGAGGGACCGCTCTCCACGACAAATTAATATCGGTGGTTCGATCGCTTTCCTCCCCCACCCATCGAAACGAAAATTGATATTGGGGGTTTTGCCGTTTACCCTGGAATTTTTTTATATTTTCCTGTGATGCGGGGGAAATGTATGTTTTCCACCGGTAGTCGATGATAAATCGCTCGGAACAACTCGACCAAAAGATTCTGCCTGACACCGACGTTACAGATATTTTCACTGATTCCAGTCATCAGGTTCTACCCTACAACATTTTTTTTTTCATCCCTTTGAAATTCACGGGCATTAGAAATATGATGGCTGACAGTTTAATTCTTCATTGATTTTTTTTTAATGTCTCGTTATTCAATTCCGAGCTTTCAATAATTGAAATGTTATATTCAGTTATAATCCGTTATAATTCGTTGTATAATTGATTAGCAAATAATTTCTAACAATTTTATTCAAACCAACTATTAAAATAATTGTCTTCCTCCTCTGTTGGCACCAGTTCACAACATTCAATTAATCCCGATAAAATTGAAGTGACGAGAGATGAATTTTCGCGTGCTGGTGTTATAACTGTAAAATAATTTCAATAAAACCGCGGTGTTCTCAGTTTCATTCGTTCTCTCTTCATCATTTATATATCGATTGAAAAACATTGTGATGCTGATTGGAATCGAGCGAGTTGTTACAACAATATACGCAGACTCGTGTTGCATTTTATTTTATATTTTTTTTTGTCGTTCCCCTTCTGGTGGACGGGGCGTCAGCTGCCCAACGTTATTGATACTACATTTATCCCGATTTGACGAATCGCCGTTGTAACCGCCGATCGAGGTAATGGTCCGAGGGATAGAGAGAGGAATACAGGGAAAAAAAAAAGTATATTAAATTCAAGTGGCCCCGAGAAAGAGAGAATTTATACCATCGGAGCGGGTATTTTCGCTCGCCTGATTCTGCCCTCTCGAGTATGAAGAAATCCCTTTATTTGTTCCATCGTGAAAACATATTTTTTCCCTGTGTTTTGATTTTCCTGAGAATCTCCTGAAGCGGATGTTTCATGCCCGAGTCCACTGAATCAATCGGCCCCATCGAATACCAGGTACGGGGGATGCCGGGCAATTCGATTGAAATAATTCATCTCAACAAGGTCAATCGACCCGCGACTCCTGGACATCCTCGACATCTGCTGGAGAATTTTTTTGGCATCCCCGTTACTTCACTCCGGCACTTACCATACCACGGCAACAGGGATCTGCAGTGTCTGTCACGAACTCGCGATCTGTGTTATCTCCTGAAGGTGCAGACCATCGCGGATTTCCGCGAGTTTTTGAATGGTCATCGATTTTTAGAGATTTTATCTCCGTTGCGAATTTAATCCAGTCTTAATAGAAGAATTGTATTTCCATAGATGCTCTGAATCAAACATAAAAATTATTAATTATAATCTCCGATGTAACGATTGGTATTAAAAAAAAAAATTTTATTCAGAAAAGATTATTCTTGCGAATAATTATTGCAAGTCAAGACTCGATAAGAATCTCCCATATCGCATCGATATAGAAGCCTCAAAGAATCGACATTGCTCTGCGAAAAAGTAGAATTGTTGAGTGGATGAGTGTGGGTGTGGGACTTGGGCCCTGGGCAAAGTGGGTGATGCCCCGACGAGGGAAAACGAGGGAGAAACCGAGCACACAGAGAAGAATGTAAAAACGAGCAAGTCTACCTGAACTCCTTACCCTCGGGATGCCCCTCTCCCCCATTGAGAGTGGGCCCCTCGAGGGTCGGCAGTTGAGGGCCCGTTGTGAGGGGCAAGAGAGGGGAGAAGCCAGGCGCATTCCAAAAGAGCGTTCTGCTCTACCCGAGACACTCGTTTTCCCATTGCCCCACCTCTTACCAACAATTCTCTCTTTCATCCCTGCGTCCCCCTTCCTCCAGGTCACCATCGTTCTCCATCTCGTTCATACCTCATGTTCTTAATATCCCCACTCGTTCGAGCCGTTTCTTCGGTACGGTTTTTCTCAGCTCTCATCCGGCTTGCCAGACGCACTCGGTTACGCGACAGCTCGGGTCGTTGGTCCTTTCATCAGTGAATTCATTAATTCAAATTAATAACGAATGAAGAATTAAAAGCGGGACGCACTGGTGGCACTATAATTTAGCCCTCAATTCGCGAGTTATGTGAATATACAAGTTGTGTTTAAAGATATTATTTTTAAATATAGACTACTCTCGTTTGAACCTGCGCAGTCATCGCGGTGGTCCATATTCTCATGCGCGGTGGTGATGCTGTCGTGATCCACGCGTGGGAAACCCGCTGGGTCGTCTAACGATCCATCGATTTTTCGTTTGAATCGTTTTTTTTTTTTCCGCCCAAAGCTATCGGTTCATCCGAGAAATGACCAAGAGGCCGAACAACTTGGGCCCCATCACCATGTGAAGGAGACGCGCTTGGTGTCCATTAACATCCCATCAATTACCAAAATTAGGTGTTATCCGAATTATCGATAAAGCGGTGAATAAATTTTTGAAAAAAACCCGTTAAAGAATTTTTGAAGAACCTGTTGACTGTGTTATCCATCGATTTCCGATCGAAAATGTCCCAGCGAGAGCCGTCCCCGGGGTGCAGTAGTGATAACGTTCAGAGGAATCCCAGGAAGCAGATGGACTCCATGGATCCTAATGATGAGGATACACCACGCCGAAGCAGAAGGAATCACCCAGTGGTGCAGGATCCACGTCGAAGTCCCACGGAGTCACCACTGGATCCGATGTTCGAGTCGATGAGACACCGATCACGGGGAAATCAGATTTACCCAGTGGAATCGACGTACAGTCCCGGTCGAATGATTCGCACCGATTTGCCGGAGGCAATTCCACCTGGGGGTCATATCGATTCAATGGATTCACCGAAATCCAGGGTGCAGTATCCACAGAGTCATCCTAACAATGCCCATTGTCAACGACTGCCCGCTGACACTGGCTACCTGCAGCATTTGATGAACGAACCCGAGGTGAATAGTGAAACTGGGAGAACCAGTCGTCGTCCGTGCACTATGGAGGATAGATATCGTCAGAAGCACTCGATCGATGAGAGATCAGTAAGCCCAACGTCGTCGTCAGACGCTACGGAAGTATTCACGTCGCCGAGACACTCGAGACACCGTCAGCACTCGTCACACCGTCACCGACTGGCCAATCAGTGCAAGGACACCATCTACCAGGCAACAATTTCTCCCCAGGTCCATCCATCTCCATCAGGAAGACACCGGCAGAATCACTGCCATCGGTACCACGAAATCGGTCAACCAACCTCTTGCTCACCGGTTTGTGATTCTGGAATAAAGGAGGACGATGGATCGTCATCTGCATTGTCTCATCATCGCGACAGATTCTCAAGTTGTGAAGACATCACTCTCTGTCCAACCAATGGAAATCAAACGAATCACGGAATTATTACCGATCATCATCGTATGAGCTCGGGTGTATCCTGCGAGTCATCGACATCATCACCGAGCATCAGAACTCGTGGTACCATTGAGCATTGCGTGACGGATAGGCATCGCAATCATCCACGGCATACACATGTGATACAACCCTACGCCCTCGATCATCCTCAGCGCGTGGAAACATCCCATCCAGAAACCAAGAGTCCACTGCTAATTAGCCTCGAAGGATTCCAAGTGAGTGATTAACGGTGTCTCAGTCTAATCTATTTTAAATATTCATAATCCGAATTTTTTATTCCTATTCTCATTCACATTTCCATTTCCTATTTCCATCATCAATCGAACATCAAACGCTCAATCCCAAATTTCCGGGATTCTATTAATTGTTGTATTATTAATTAACAGATTGCTGCCCCTCCTGGTAAGAAGTGTCAGTGCCACATTGACCACATCCAGCAGACACAGCACAACCAGGAGCAGATGCCCCAGCAGAATCAGATGCATCATCATCGTAATCTGTATCACGAGCACGAGCAGTTCAGTCAGGACAAGAGGGGTGGCCCCGAAGGGGAGGACAATGCTGATAACATGGCAGTTGTTGTCTCGAGGATTCATCAACCTCCTGCACTACCACCCAGACCACCACCCAGAACCAACAGAATATACGACACATCCGCTTATGACAATCGTAAGTCCATTCAATATTCCGATATCTCCATCACAACTCCAAGATATTATTCCGTTAAAATTCATCAATTCCCTGAAAAAATTCGGAATTCTATTTCCGCCTTGAAATAATAATTCATTACAATTAATTATCAATTACGAATACATATTTACATGAATTTCAATAATAATTATTTTAAATATCCATGAAGTTTAACTAATAGATTAAATAATTTAAAAAATCAGATAATCTCTGCAGTTAATTTTATTTAAAGAGGAAATTAATTTAAAATCACGAAAAATATTGCGTTAATGTTCACCGGATTAGAGTGAGTGATTACTCAGTTTTATTTGCACCCCGGAGAAATCCAATTTCCTTCATTCGATGTATTCAGGGTTCTCGTGGGGTAGAGCCGCTCATACCTTGTTGACAATGTCTCCACCCTCTTGATCTCCCCTTGCACTTTACGACCCCCTGATCTCAGCCCCTCGCGAACGTGTCACCCCGTAGTAACGGGATTAATAGTGGGGCCCAGGGGGTGACGGGGGAATGGGTGTCGATGCAACGAATGTTGTAAGACAAAGATCAAGTGCTTGACTCCGTACTCACCACCCCTCATTCAAAAGTCAATAGCGTACATTAAGAGTATGTATACATGACACCTAGGTGATTGCAAATAAGAATTCTGAGATATCGGTGATGGAAAAAATTTAGACTAGAGAGCCGGGGGGTTCCGGGAATTTATAGCGTTGTAAATTCATAGGTCGATTGATTTTCTAATGATTTTCCATCGATTTCCCATGAAAATCATTATTATGGAAAGCTGGAGGAAATTATGTGGTGATTTTCCAGTGGTTGCGACACCATCGACTGTCGCCGTTACTCGAGTAATCTGCCCTATCCATCCGCGATATTCCCCACGATTTTCCCCTTTGAAAAAAATCATCCCCTCGTGACAACAAGTTTACCCCTCGTCTCTGCAGAGTCGCCCTCGTCGCCTTGACTCCCACGTATCGACCAGGTCTTGATGGGTCTGGGCGCGCGCAAAACCCTGATAAAGATGAGCCCATGTTCCATGGTGACGACGGACGTGTTTGACGCTCCGGGATTGAATAGTTCATAATGTGAATAGTCATGAGTATAAAAATTTGGCAATCGTGTTGGTTGAATCGATTGAAATCAGAATCAGTTGGTAATTCGGTGATTGATCAATGGACACGTGCGAGTGATTGAATTCAATTGAATTCGAGTGCTATCAGATGTTGACAACTGATTTGATATCCCTGAAGTGGAAGTATGGCACGAGGTAAATACTGCCAGTCTCAAGGATGTACTTATCGATAAATTCAATCGATACGGGGAACGTAAGTTCAATACCTGAAGACGAATCATCATCATCCGATAATAGAAAAATGGACAGTTATCCGGTACTGCAAATAGTACGATGTCGACTTGGTCCAGATGCACCCGTGGATGGTGTTGTTGGATATCCATTCGCCGTATCACCGCATTCCCACTCTCATTTATCGAGAAATGGAAATCACGCACATTTGTCGAGGAATCACTATCGACATCCATGCGGTACGTCGGTGTAATTTCCCATGACTTCCGAGAACTTTTCAATATTTCAACATCGGGGACTCGTAGTTTTTGTTGTGCCAAATGCACGTGGGAATATCTCAGGGATTGGGGGAAAAATTGTTATTTTTTTTCTCTTCGGGGGAGTCAATGGAGCAGGTAGAAAATCGGTAACAAGGAAATGGTGGAGCAGGTAGTTGGAGCTGAAAGAGGAACCGAAATGCCGATGCAATCTGTCTCGCTTCCCTGATTTTGCGCCTTTGACCTGGACACAATGTTTTTACCGCCAACCTTTGGGCCTTTTTTTGGGGGGACAATGTTTATGTCACTGTGGGCTCTGTCCTAATCGTTTTGCTCAACCTATTCGGGTTTTTTTTTTTCAGGCACTGATAATGGGGATGGTGGCTGCTGCAAGAAGTATGTGGTCTTGTGCTGTCTCTGTGGGGCTCTCAGTGCTGCTGTTGGCAGTCTATTCCTTGCTGTTCATGCTGTTTTGTCCGCTCACACTGCCAGTCTCATGCATTTCGAGACTGTGCCTTCCTATATCCCTGGCACAATGGTTAGTATAATAATGCAACTGGGGGGACTATTCCGTATCACGGGGGGACTAAATGCCTTCTTCATTTCAGCTCATACTCATGGGTTTCTTCACAATGCTCCTCGCCAGGCGGAAGCATCGATACGGTCTTCTGGTAAGAATTATGGAATTTATAAATTTCTCAATTGATTGGAATAATTAATTAACATCCAAGATTTAACTCTGTCGGATTTTTAGGATTAATGGGATTTTTAAAATTCATTTATCTAGTTCTTCACGGATAAAAATGGTTGAAGAGAAAAAATGATTTTATTCGACTTTCAGATGAAGGTCTGCGGCTCGGTCGGGGTTGTTTGCGCCCTGGTGTGCGTTCTCGTGACAGTAACGACAACGGTTGTCCACATGTCCAAGTTACAGAGCCTCCGTGAGTGCGTGTACACAGCAAGAGCGAGGTATTGTTAGCCATTGAAACCATAATCTTCAATAAACCGTAAACAGGGTTACTCTCCCCTCAGCATTGGCATTGGCAATGAGCGAGGTGAAAAAAATAGTGGCCACAAAAAAACCCTCTTTACACTCGAATTGTCATGCTAATTACCTTGACAATGCTCAGACCTGGGGGCAGCCACGATTTCACGCCTCGCGTAATGAGGTGCCCTGTCTGCACAACTCTCAATTCACTGAGGGATACATTAATCAATTAATCGTGAATATCTTCGAATCGATAGCAGATATTAAAATTGTCGTTAAGACTTTTTCCATCGAGTTGAATGAGATCTACAAAAAAGCTCGAATAAAAAATCGGCTATCTCCCCCAGTTGCAGAGATATTCTCGAAAAACTCACGCATTGCCTGAATCGACTTATTCTTCTGGTTTTTACAACGCAATCCAATACAGTCGATGTTATTTATGGTGTTCCAGATCCTGCACGTGTTATGGTACATCTCAAAGTAGAAGCGAAGATACTGGGGTTCTCTTCGAAGGTACACCCCACTGTGAGGCTGTGCATGGGGCCCTTTATGCCTGCTTGAGAGCTTTATTCGGTGTTTCAGTTGCTGGTATACTGGCATGCATATTCTCCTGCATGCTGGTGTACCAGTTGCTCAGCCATGAGAAGAAAAAAATGTATTGGGAGCAGCTGGAACTGAGGTTTTTTCTCAATCTTAATTACAACTATTATAATTTTTTTTTTACCACGTGTTATTAACGATAATGATTTCCAGATGTAGATCACTGTACGGTCAGGGGGGTGGGGCGCCTGTTGGTGGAACAACAGCAGGTTCTTGTGGATGCTGCAACGACTGCGGTGGTGTTAGTCCCTGGTGGGCACAAACCCCTGGGAATTTGTACACTCCAAATCCTGATTTGGCCCCGTCTAGGTAATCCTACTCTACTAACTTCTCATGCACGGTGTTCTGATAAATTTCCCAATATTCTAGACAGTTCTTTTTTTTTTTTCATTATCTGTAGTTAATAGTTGAGATTCCTGGAATTAACATACTTTATCAGCGGTTCACCGGGTGGTTATCGGTTTTTAATGGCTGCCGCTTGGGAAATTAATTTTAATTCACGCTCATTGATACACGGATGGAGAAATTCCACTGAACCTTGCGCTTTCTTCAATAGATTTTATTAAATATCTGCTGTACTTTCATTGCAAGATTTATTAGTTCTTTCGTTTTTTTGGATTTTAGTACGAGAAAGAAATGACGCGCTGGAAAAATATATATAATTAGTGAATAATAATGGAAATTGAATATTTAATAGTTTTGAGTAAATGAGATGTGTAGATTTCTTCGGGTGGAATTTCTTTCCTGTAATTTTTATAAATGCACGTGGGAAATTAGCGGAAATTTTGGATTAATTATTTAACAAGATGATTCCCTCTTCACCACGTCTCCACTAACTTTGCTTTCTACCCCTTGATGATAGAAGATGGCGGCTGCCTTGGTCACGCTCACGGGGTCCAGCACCGAGTCCTGACTCGAACTATGGCTTTCATGCACAGTCCCTCAGACACGCGAATGAATTAAATGAGCAATCGCGCGATGTCACAACAGCAATATCAGCACCCTATGGTTTCATCGACTCACGTCAATCAGCCGGCCCCTACTCCGTCCTCAATCCTCAAAATAATTCCTACACACCTAGTACAGCGTCATACAGTGTCTTGGAGGCACCGGTTCCCCTTTGGGGACCTCCACCACCGTACAGTGATCCCAATAGTCCAGCTAGGAGACCGCAGATTGTTGAGCCCAAGGGTTCATCATCTGGTGGCTCATCCTCGGGCATACCGACAACCCCAGCTGGAGGGGCAATTGCCACACCCTCGAGGTTGGCCAGTGTCAAGAGGACTGGGGATAATTTTGAGAGCAGCGAAGGTTTGTACATGATTTTTCAAATCCAGATGAATTATTAAAAAAAATTCACCTCAGAGATCTATAGAAATCTCGCGTTCCCATTTCCCCCTGTGAACACTCCCCTCCAGAAAAATAAGTGACTCTCTCTCCCTCCAGATCACAACGTTCAAAGGACTCCTCAGCACTGCGCACCAACTGACAATTACGAGAATACAGAGGAGTTGTCCCCTCCGGAGCTGGAGTGTACGGGGGTTCATGAGAGTACAACAATGAAGGCGCGTCGATCTAGAAGAGCTCTTAAGGGAGTGGAGAACGATGCGTTCCAGCAGGAGCAGAATCACCAACTGTCCTCGACGAAACAATCGGAGAGTGAACTCTACTTCGGGGATGTGTCCTCGTGCTGCGGCCCTGAGAGCAGTTTGTACGAGATGGCAGTGGAGAAGGAGTTGAACTCGAGAATGGATCAGGATGATCTCCAGCAGAAGGAGTACATGGCCTCGAGGATGAGTAAGCACAGGCTGTCGAAAAGGAATCGTCTGCCTCTGCCTCTGCCACCGGGTCAGGCATCGCCTCATCAGGAACTGCTGGATGGTAATAATGACAGGAATTATACCAATGGAGAGGAGTCTCTGGCATCGTCAGGGGCTTTTTTAGCTCCTGATGCTCAGTATGAAGTGATACAGCAAGGCGCAAGGTATGGATTCTACGCCAGAAAACCTGAGGAGGAGTTCCGAGAACCTCCAGCTGGCTACGGATTTTACAGGGATGCACCTGAAACTGATAACTCCATTCGTGAATACAGGTCGAGGGACGACGATAGCCAGCAGTCCCAAGAGGATTTGGGTATCGATAAATTAGGAAGGAGAGAGCATCAGTGTTGCTCTAATAGTGTCAATGATCTTGAAACGGAATGGCAGAGTGTCGAGCAGAAATTAAAATCCGATGATGGAGTTTGCCCGATTAATGTTTAAAGACTGGGAGGAAAACAGTGAAATTTTGGAGACTGGTGGATTGTTGTCTTTAGGGGAAGTTTAACCGATTTTTCAGGGACACTGCCCTTTGGAAATTTTTTGAGATATCTTCGGAATTGGGGATAAAATGAAATCGAGTTTGTTTCTGGTGATTTTGGTGCGGGTATTGAAAGATAAATCGGTGAAGACGAAATGCGTGTATTTAAAACTGAAATGTTTACATAAAAAATCGAGGGTTGACTCGACTAAAGTTGTTCGGGGTGTCAGAATCCCCCCGGAATTTCGTGAGAGAAATTTTCTTGCCATACTTTTGAATTTTAATCGGTGAAAATCTGTGAATTGAAAGAAATGAGAATGAAGAATGTAAGAGAAAAATCGATTATGATAAAAAGATTTCTGAGAGCACCGAAAATTTTCGCGAAAAATGAACGGTGTGTTGTTGACTTCTCTGAAACAGAGATATTAGATAAAAAATAAAAAAATTAAAGAGTAAAGCTGTTTAAAAGCTCACGACGATGAGGAGAAACTCCTGATTGCCATTGTAGTATTGCACTTGTAGAAATTTCGAATGTAGTTAATGAGCAACAATAATGCCAATCGAAATGAGTCACGAAGGCGAGCAATGCCCGCCGATGGACCAAGGACAATACCAATATGGAACAAATAACATTAACCGGATAACAAATCATTAATGTAATGTACTCTTATTATCCTTAAATGGTGATTGTCGCACAAAGAAATCCCACAATCTGACAATGCGTATTAAAGTACACGAATTCGTAATTTTACAGAGAACCGTTGACACTCATATTTTGTAACAAATTGACTGATGAATAAATAGAGAATATAGAGCCCGCTGATGAGGGGATAGAGGTATAAGAAATCATTAAATTAAAATATCGAGAATTTCGATGCGCGTGTTCGGAGTCTTGCAATAGTTTAACGTTGAATACTATCGTTATTAAGCTAAAGTGTACCTTCACGTAGGCTTTCGATCGGAGAGCGTGCGATCAGTGTAGATGTAATTTAAAAAATAAAGTGAATTTCTTTTGTAAGTTTTTTTCTCTTTATTCGAACAAAATCCACTGGATCCATTTTTTTAAATCCACAAACACTTTCCGTCAATGATCTATTTCCATTCCTCTTTCATTTGATTTTTATTATTTTATTTCAGGGGATAAAGAAATTAAATGTTGTTACGACTGGTATTTTATTTAGGGGAAGTAGAATATTTTGGAATGAGATGAGAGGCAGGCGGATTTGTCTAGGAATTTAGCTTCTTCTGGAGGTTTTTCAATGGATTAATTTTTTTTTATTGCCATTCAAAGAAAATCAATTTGGTGATCCCTCATGGGTTATTTGTCTGGTCTGCACACACTTAATAGTGCATACCATCTTGTTTTATCGGCAGATGTGGGGTCAGACGAGCGCGTGGCACACGCGCCCCAAAACTCTCCAACGGTCGCAACAGCTGCTTGGAAAATTGTGAATACACTCGATGTAACAGAAGTTCCGATTCACCGATGTAATTGTCTCCTGGTTGTATTGATGGGCCGTTTTCTGTCGATTCAAATGAAAAAAAAATCGATTCGATTTGATGAGCGATCGGCGATACGGAAATGAGACGATTTCCATCAGGTCGAAGACCGAAGAAAATCCCCCATAACTCCATATTCCTCCCAACAAAATTCCAAGATTCAAATATCACGACAAATAATTTATTTTCACAACAAAAAATTTCGAGTCTAATTAATCGAAAGTCTAATTAAATGAGATAGAGTTGAGACTAAATTGTGAAGTAACAAAGTGGATTTAAAACGAATCCTGAAAGTATACATGTGCGTCCGTTGTGGATTGTGAAAAGTGGGCCCGATGGGGGCTGAGGGGAGAAGTAAGGGGAAAAGGGGACACCGGGCCCCATGACTGGTACCCTGTGACAAGCAACCCCTCAGCAAGCCACACGGAAACCGTCATTTTAACATTGCAGCTGCCTCCGCTCTTGTGTCCCGCCACTGGTCGTTTTTCTTTTCAGTGCGCCTCCAACATTCCACCAGTGCACACATCGATCCGGAGTCTCATGGCTCTTTGTTTCCAATCCAATCATCAACAACTGGAATTTATCGGTGATCAAGTTCAATCGGAAAATGTGCAGCAAAGTGTTCAGTGATTCATCGAGACGGATCACTCCACAGGTGCAGTCCGTTGTTCTCGCCCTGGAGACCTGGAGGAGAATATCCTTCATCAGCAGTGCACTGGTGATCGTCATCCCCAAGTGATGTGATCCATCTAAAAATCTTGGCGCAATTAACAAAAAAAAAAAAATCCTGTTTGATAAATTATTACAGATGTTTAACAAATCGACTTGAGCAATCGGCAATTATCGGTTATTTGCAGTGATTGGACTTTGTGGTGTTGATTAGCGATTTTAATCAAGGAAAATTAATAGAATAAATGATGGCGGAGACAAGTTCGCCGACTGCAGTCCATTGCTACACGAATCCGTCGTTCTGCCGTCGATCTGAATTCGTGCCAGATCACGATGACGACGAGCTACCACCCCCACCGGGTTTTCAACCCGACGATTTGCCCCCACCACCTCCGCTAACGGTACCAATACCGATAAAAACACCGTCAAACTACCCGTCGAGATACGGCCACACGAATCCCGTTCTGAGTCGCGTCGATCCAGACGCCATCGATGTCGACAGATACGAGAAGACAACGGAGAGAAACTGTTATCACGACGAGACAGGGAGAAATGAGACACAGGGACGTCGCGTTATCTACGACAGAAATACAAAGTCACGGTATGAATACATCGACGATGATGAACCACCTCCGCACCCTCGTCTCCAGCGACGAGCATCGCTTACGCGATTTGAGATGATGACGCAGCGTCAGGATCAAAATTTTACACGTCAGGCTAGCTATCATGGTCATCACTACCGAACCACCTCCAACATCGAGGAAATGGGCCCCAGGGTACGACGAATTCGTCAGGACGGGAGTGACGTTGTTCGTTATGGACTGGTGCCCGCAGACGAGGCCAACGTCGACTGCGACTCTTCACCTCTTCTCGGCGTTGGTCAAGTTTCCCCGAGGGGTACGTCACCCCGAAATTTCTATTTTTTTTTCTTCTTCGATTGATTAATCTCGCGTTTAACAATCGGTTAATTCGCCATTAAACCTAACGGATTGATTGATCGAATTTCAAATCTGCGGAGAGAAAAATTTCTAGACATTTCCGTTATCTTTTCGTGAACGACTTCCTCTCGTTCAGTTTAATACTAAGTACCGTGTAATTATGTGGTACGCTCAATTTTTCGATTATTCAAGGGGTAATGTTTCAGGACGTTATGGAAGGGTGCCCATGCAGGACGAGGAGCCTCCCCTGTTGCCTGAGCGCAATGGAAGGGATCGGGAATTGCGGGATAATGCGTCGAAAAATAATCTGGCAACGCAGAGGCTACATGCCATGTTGACAACACCCAGGAAGAGATCGAGGTCCGAAGAGAGGAATCTATCACCAGGAAGGGCCACTCCCAGATTTACACCCCCCGTCAGCGCTAACAATTCACCTGCAGGTTAATTCATTTTTTTTCAGGGCACAACTCAAAAATTACATTTAATCCAATTACTATTATTAATTGACACCGAAATATTTCGCACTCTCAATCATTTCTTATAATAATAAATCAATAATTATCATTAATGAATTGATTAATCGATGGAATATTGAAAATCAGAAATTAATTAATTAAACTTCACTTTTTCCCATGGAAATATTCGTATGAGTATAAAGACATTATATTAATTCTGGAATTTTACTGATTACCTTTCTGTGAAACAGGTCGTGGAGTAGTTCCAGGTTCTAGCCGACGAGGAACTCCTGTCGGCACACCCCAACGTGCGCTTTCCCCGAATAGAACCCCTCTGACATCGACACCCAATAAAGACAGTCCATCGGCGCGCAGATGTCTTCCGTTGAATGAGCAACAGGAATTGGGAAATTACGGAAGGATGCGTTACGGTTCGCGACGTGAGGGGTCAGGGTCTCTAGCAACATCGCCGATTGAATTATCATCGAGATTTGGTGAGCCACCACCGAGATATGCATTCGTCGAATCACCGGAGTCCATCCCCATGGTGATAGGATCCCCCAAGTACCAGGTCCTGTCTCAAACACCCAAAAGAGGTGGCTATACAAGTGTCGAGAGTGCATTCATCGCCAGAACAGCTGTTGTAAGTTATCTCTCTTATCTGAGAATTCTTTCATGATCGGAAAATGACTTCCAATTTTTAAATTCAATTGAATTCTCTCTTCCCATTAATTTTAATGGATTAATTGAATTTAAATCCATTACTTTCATTCGTTTTCTCATAACATTTTGAATTCTTGAGTTTACTAGATGTTTTTAATCAATTTTTAATCAATGAAAATTCATTTATAAACAGGTACCACCCCTTTCCCCACAAATCAGCGAAGCTAACACAACATTGATAAGTGGAACTGAAAAAGAAGAGAGAAAACGTGCCCCATTGCTGCTGATTCTCGTTGGAATTTTAACATGCGGACTGGCTCTGTATTTTTCATGGTCCCAAGGAAGAAAGTGAGTGAACAATTTTCATTTCTAGAAATTCCATTTCACTCCATGATCGAACATTTGTAAATCAATTTTAGAGGCGATTAATTTAATCTCTTAATTTATGATGCAGATACTATTTGGACAGCGCTGCAGGCTGCGGACTATGCTGTACACTGGCGGGTGCCTGCAGAAGTTTGAGAAGAACCTGGACAGGTTTGGGCCTTGCAGGATTATCCGCAGTGAGTTGTTTGGGATTGCTTCTTCTAGCCACTAAACAACCCCGTCCAGGAACTCCCCTGCACGATGTAACAGCTGGAGCACTTTGTGGTGTGTCCCTGCTAGGAGCTGGACTGGCCCTGCTAGCCCTTCTGGGCCCCAGATGCACTCTCAGTCGACACAGACGAGTCCACTCATGGATACCAAATTTTTCCGCCTGATTCAATACCAATTCTCAATCCAAATCTATCCTCTACCGTGCATTTTAATTAGTCATTTGAATTACGATATTTTTTTTACGTCAATTTTTTGTAATGAAACTTCTAATAATAAGTTGTATAATGTCAAATAAACTCTCTAATTAATTATTAATTTAAGATTCCGGGGTGAATCATTTCGAAGATCTCTGTAGTACCGTAAACATGGAGTATGACATTTTCAAGAGCTGGGGAAAATGATTTTATGATAAAAATGATAATACAGTCAGAAGAAATTCAACCGAAAAAACCAGAACTGAAATGCAATCGAGACGTTCTTCTATTTTTATTTCCGAGGGAAACTGAGTTGTGGTTTAATATTAAATTTCTTCGTATGCTGCTCTAAAGAAATATTACATACTTTACCGAAAGAATCCAAGGATAGAACGATGAGATATCCACTGACGAATCTGACAGGTCTCAAAGTCCGAATCATCATCAACATGAGATTTTTTTTTGCCCGATTGCTCAAAAGGTACCACTTGGTTTCAAAAATACTCTCAATCAAACTCTCGCACTGAAACAATTCTATTAAGAATTCCCCTAAGAAATTACTACGCATTAAATTACTTGGATCGTTGCCTCGTTTCCAGCAGCGCAGGATATGAATATCTGTAAGAGCATGCAGGAGACGTACAGGAAGAGCATCAAGAATTGCACTGAGAACAGAGGCATCTGAGAAATAAGAAAAACACTAACGCATATTATAATCAAACTCGCCGCGTATTGTATAAATATTACGACCGTGAAGATAGAATTTATTCTCCTAGCTATTCTGAAACAAAAAGTTTTAATATAATCCCCGAAAATTCGTATTCCAAAATTCTATAGACATTAGGAATTAATACTGGAATATAGCTCGATGATACTTGATGCACTCAACGATACGAATTTCGTAATTTTTTGATAAATCTCCGAACTCACTGGTCACCCGATGCAGTCTCCACTTGAGAATATTGAACTGGGCGCATATTTGGATCATAAATCCAGGAATAAGGGTGTCGAAGCCGATGTTTACATTGGCAGAAAGAAGAACACTGATTAATTGTTGATAATAAGTGATCCAGTACATGTTGACCCCGGAGTAATCGTAGGGTATCCAAGCCTTGTAGGGCAGTACCCCAAAAGGTATCCCTTGAAAGAACGTGGAGATAGTCATGCTCCAGACAGTCAATTCGACAAACCCACCGTAAAATCGTGTGAGTAATCTTGAGAGGATCATACCAATCAACTAATTGCCCATCAGAGGTGATCGTATTTCTCACCTGATTTGTCGATCGTACTCGTTCTGAATGCTCTGCTCTTCCGAGTTGATAGGTTTGTGCAGATAGTTCTCAAGAGCATATAAAACATCTCGTATCTCCGATCTCTTCATCAGGATTACAAGGATTTTGGCACAGACGGTTAAGATCGACAGGAGCATGAAGCAGGAATCCGAGAAATCCTCGACATCATCAGTTGTCATTAGGAGATTAACCAGTTCAGATAATGAGAACCAGGATATAAAGATAACTATGTAAATCGTGTAGATGGAATAGATTCGATACTTCCAGCTCGAGGACTCCAAGTGGAGTGGTGGCCATAGACCGAAGTACTGGAGAAATAAAAAGCTGTCTTTTAATAGTACCATGTCAACCCCTCGACGTTGCTTGCAGAAATGAGAGGACAATGACTGCCGCTCTTTTTTCTACCTTCATTTCATATTCCAGACTAGTACAGGCTCCAACCACATGACAATATCCCACGTTTCTACCCCATTGCACTGTTGTCATCATTTTTTTTTTCCTGTTGCAAGTCAAAAAGGTAGCGAAAGCCCGGCGCTACATCATTGATAGTCTTTTTCTTCCTATTCTTTCATAGGGGAATTACTCTAGGTATCACCGGGGGAGAATAAGCAGTTTAGAACGGAGGAATTTTAAATGGAGTATTGATTCCTCTATCTGGACAATGAGAGGGAACGCGAGTGCGTCAGGAACTCAATCGAGTTTTCAACTTCTTTCTGCAACTATCGGTTTCATACCTTCCAGCCTTCACCCTTTTTTTCCATTTTTTTTTCACGAATAGTCAACAATGTGGAGTGATTTGGTAATGAGTGATCAAGCGTTACGAAAATTATTTCATTTTTTTTAATTAATGATAAACTGTCGAGGTAAACATGTGCCGCTGAAATTTTTGAAAAATTTTTTGTACGTTTTGGGAGGAGCTTTAATTGAGAGTACAATTCATCCGATAAATTTTCCATTCAATATCTCGCGGATGATTAGGTCGAGGATCTTTGCAGTACTGTATACGCGGAGTAGGATGTTTTTATGAGCTGTGGAGTGTTAATTCGTTAGAATGATAAAATCGTTCAGATCGAAGAAATTTGACAGATCGAAACGAAAGAAATCAAACTGAAGTGAATTGTGTTTTTACTCCTCGTAATTTTAATTTGTTTTAATAATTAATTTAATTTTTAATTTTTTCTGTTAAATTTCTTCGGATACTGCAATACAAAATGTCATACTATACAGAATGAATCCAAGGATAGAACAATAATGAATCCACTAACGAATCTGACAGGTCTCAGTGTTCGGAGCATCATCAGCATGAGATATTTTTTCACCCTATCACTCAAAAGGTACCACTTAGTCCCGAAGATGCTGTTCGTCATGCTCTGACACTGAAAAAATCCATTAATAATTACCCAAACGACTGCTACGTATTAAATTACTTGAATAGTCGCCTCATGTCCAGCGGCGCAGAACATGAATATCTGCAAGAGCATGCAGGAGAGGTACATGAAGAGCGCCAGGAACTTGGGAGAGAACAGGGGCATCTGCGAAATCAGAAGAACACTGACGCAAATTATTATGGAGCTCGCAGCGTACTGGATAAATATTATACTCGAAAAGATGGAATTAATTCGTTTAGCTATTCTGAAACAAAAAATAATGTCGTACGCAGATAGAACAAATAGAATATTATCAAAGAAAACAGAAATCAGTACTCAATAATAGCGCGATGGAACTTAATGCACTCGATGATTTCAGCTTCATAAATCTCAGGAGAATTTCCAAATTTCTTGGACCTCATGTTGTCAAATTCATTGACAACACGATGCAATCTGCACTTGAGAATATTGAACTGTGCGCATATCTGGAGGATAAATCCGGGAATAATGGTGTCAAATCCGATGTCGAGATTGGCAGCGAGAAGAACACTCAGTAATTGTTGATAATAAGTGAACCAGTACATCTTAGCTCCGGTGTAATTGTAGGGTATCCACGCCTTGTACGGCAGAACTCCAAAAGGAATTCCTTGAAAGAACGTGAAGATTGTCATGCACCAGACAGTTATTTCTGTGGCCACACCATAAAATAGCGTAATAAATCTTCACAGAGAATTATGTTAATCACGTAACGATTCATCTAACGAGACATCAATCCTCACCTGACTTGTCGATCGTAGCTGTTCTGAATGTTCTGCTCTTCCGGGCTCATCGGTTTATGTGGATAGCTCTCGAGAGCAGAAAGTACCTCCCTGATCTCCGATTTTTTCACCAGAGTTATGAGGATCTTGGCGCAAATTGCTACTGTCGACAGGAGCATGAAACAGGTGTCGGAAAAATCTTCGATGTCATCAGTTGTCATCAGGAGATTGAGCAGTTCAGATAGTGTGAACCAATACATAACGATAATTATGTAAATTGTGTAAAGAGAGTAGACATGGGACCACCAGCTGTCGTGGACTGGTGGCCACATGCCACAGTATCGAAGGAACCACAAGCTCTCTCTCAACAATACCATGTCAACCCCTCGATATCAATTTCAGAAATGAGAGGACAATACTGCTGCTGTTTTCGCTCCCTTCATTTCATATTCTAGACTAGCACAGGCTCCAACCACATGACAGTATCCCACGTTTTTATCCATTTTTTAATTCATACTGTCTCTTCATTTTCTTCATTTTCTCGCAAAGGGGGAATTGCTCTAGGTACCTTAGGGGGAGAAATATCGGTTTATAATGGAAGAATTTTAAATGGATTATTGACTTCTCTCTCTGGAGGGGACATCAGGTGAGCCAGGAATTCAGTCGAGACTTAAATTTTATTCTACAAGTGTGATCTTCATACAATTGTTACCCATTTGTTTCCTGCTATCATATACTTATAAATATGGAGTAATAAACGTTAACCAGAAGACTGTTGGAGCATTGTGTATGCTGAGTAAGACGTTTTGAGGAGCTGTAAATGATTTGTCATTAGATTAATTGTCGGATTAACTTATTATTTGATATTAGTGATGAGCGCACAACGCAAAAAGACTGCAGTGAAAGAACGATGATGTGATGACTCACGAAGACGAGGGGCTTCAACGTACGTATCATCATCAGGTAGAGGCATTTCTTCATGGGATTGCTCAGGAGGTACCATTTTGTGTTGTAAACAGCATTCCTCACGCTCTCACCCTGAAATAAAATAGTCGGTACATTTATTCCTGTGGGTAATTATCGTAATTGTTACTTCAAGTGTAGCTTCATTTCCAGCTGCGCAGAACATGAGAATTTGGAGCAACATACATGCTACGTACATGGCGATTGTCATGAATTTTGGTGATGATACTGGCATGTGGGAGATCAGCAGGACACTCACGCATATGATGATGGAGGAGGCAGAGTACTGAACGAAGATTATACTGTTGAAGATGGAATTTATTCTTTCAGAGATTCTAGAAGAAATATATAATTTATTTAATCCTGGAAAATACAATTTTACTGGAATGATTTCACGCTTCTCCTAGAAAAATATAAATTATTATAAATTATCATAAATCATAAATACTTGAATATTGCGATGTGATATTTGATGCAATCCTCAATATATCTTTCATACGTTCGAAGTAGCGCTGGATTAGTCGTGCTCTGCGAGCCAATCTGCTTGGCGTCGAATTCATCAATGATCATCTCCAATCGGCACTTGAGCATATTGAATTGCCCGCATATTTGCATGAGACTTCCAAAAATAATAGTGTCAAAGCCAATATTGAGATTGGCAGCGACAAAAACACTTATTAATTGCTGACAGTAGGTGCACCAGTAAACAGCAGGTGTTGAGTAATCATGAGGGATCCATGCTTTGTAAGGCAGATATCCGAAAGGAATATTTTGGAAGAATGGAGCGATAGTTCCATAACATACGGTAGCTTCCGTCAAACAGCCGTAACAAACGGTGAACAACCTGAATAGAAAGAGTCCTTGATTAAACGTGTGTACTTGAAGAGAAAAATTATACTCACCTGACCCGCTCATCAGTTCGATCCTGAAGTAACTGAGTTTCCAGATTCACTGGCTTATGAGGCTGATTCTCGAGAGCTGTGACAACTCCTATTATATCCGATCTCTTCGAAATGGCTATCATCACCTTGGCACATATTGCTAGCATCGATAGCAACATAAATGAGGTGTCTGAGAAATCATCAACGTCGTCACTTATAACGAATAAATAAATAGACCCCGAAATTGTGAACCAGTAGATGCTGAAGATACAGAATTCCAACCATATGTCGATGCACCACAGCATTTCTCCTATTTTTCCCCCTTTTTTCTGTTGCCTCGGCGAATGTTTTCCAATGACAATTCTTCAATCCATTGTTCTCGTCGGGAAACAATATCAATCCCCTCGTTTCAATTCTCGGTAGTGAAATTACGATTGCATAAAAGGGAATACTCCGTGAACGTTTTGTTTTTTTTTCATTGTTCATGGGGTCGGGAGATGGAATCCACTGTGAGATACCAATACGCTATCAGGAAAATCACGATCAACTACTGCAGCTCATTATCCAAGTAATCATCACTTTTATAACACATTATACATACAATTACAACAATAATATGCATTCATGTAATATCATCATCTTCTGGATTCTGAAAATGGAGGTCATGAGACATCAGAGAAAATCGTGAAAAAATCGTATTGAGAATATAAATAAACAGCGATTGGATTTAGAACTATCTAAATTTTATTTCCACTCCTCTCAATTTTTACGAAGTTGATAAAATGTCCTTTCAGTAAAATAAATCAGTCAGCGGATGGGGTTATACAATTTACCGTACGAATTCATATAAACACTGAGCGATTCCATGATGAATATTAATCAGAGAATTGTTGCAGCATTGTGTACGCAGTGTAAGAGGTTTTGAGGAGCTGTAAATGGATTGTCATTAGATGACATTCCAAAATTGATTGACAATTGTTAAATAAATGATGAGCGCACAACGCAAAAGGACTGCAGAGACAAAACGATGATGTGGTGACTCACGAAGACGATAGGCTTCAAGGTACGAACCATCATGAGGATCAATGCCTTCTTCATGGAGCTAGTCAGGAGATACCACTTTGTATTAAAAATAGCATTTGTCAGACTCTCGCACTAGAATATTATCACAAGTTGATTAATTACTTCGTTAAAGTCATCGTGATTATGTTACTTCAAGTGTAGCTTCATTTCCAGCTGCGCAGAGCATGAGAATTTGCAGTAACATACAGGCTACATACATTGCGACCCACATGAATTTTGGAGAGGACACGGGCATCTGCGACATCACCAGGACACTCACGCATATAATGATGGAGGATGCTGCATACTGCACGAAAATTATGGTATTGAAAATGGAATTGATTCTTTCTGATATTCTGAAAGAGACCGAACAATTCATTGACCATTTAATCAATAAATATGATTTCTTGCATTGAAATTTCTGGAAAATATCACATGAAATATTTACCACCACCAATTATTAATGATTGAATAAATCACGAGTACCTAAATATTGCGATGTGATACTTGATGCAATCCAGGATGTATTGTTCGTACATCTGCGATGATGTGGGAGTGATTTGGACGCTGGAGGCGATCTGCTTGGCATCGAATTCATCAATGATCATCTCCAATCGACACTTGAGCATATTGAATTGCGTACATATTTGCATGAGAATACCAAATATAACAGTGTCAAAACCGATATTGAGATTGGCAGCCACAAAAACACTGATCAATTGCTGGCAGTAGGTGAACCAGTAAATAGCAGGTGTTGAATAAGGATAAGGTACCCATGCTTTGTATGGCAAAATTCCAAATGGTAGATTTTGGAAGAACGGTTCAATTGTTGAGTAAGATACAGCAGCTTCCGTCAGTCCACCGTAACAAATTGTAAAAAATCTGAATGAAATAGCCTGATTAATCAACTGTTAATCATAAAATATGAGTCTCCTCACCTGATCCATTCATCAGTTTTGTCCTGCAACAACTGAGTTTCGGGATTCACTGGCTTGTGCGGATGATTCTCCAGGGCTGTGATAACTCCTATAATCTCAGATCTTTTTGAAATAGCTATAATTACCTTGACACACATCGCTAGCATCGACAGCAGCATGAATGAGGCGTCAGAGAAATCCTCAACATCGTCACTTATAACGAATAAATAAATAGACCCCGAAATTGTGAACCAGTAGATGCTGACAATGATGTAGCTTGTGTAAAGCGAGTAGGCGATGGTCTTCCAGGTTTTAGGCTTCCAATTAACTGACGGCCATATACCGAAGTAATGGAGGGAAAGAAAACTCTCTCTCAATAGTGCCATTGGTGGTGACTCTTCGGTAGCAAGTAGAAGAATGACATGGAAGAGCACAGGGGATTTTTCAGTCACATCATTTAGTATTCACAGCTACTACAGAATTCCAACCATATGTCGATGCCTCACAGTATTTCTCCTATTTTCCCCCTTTTTCTGTTGCTTCGTCGAATATTTTCCAACGACAATTCTTCAATCTATTGTTCTCATCGGGAGACAATATCCCTCCCCCGTTCAATTCTTGCCAGTGAAATGACAATCGAAAAAAAAAACAGAAATAGAGTTCGCTCGTACTATTTTTCATTTTCAATGGAAACAATAAAATATCACGAATGGATCTAATTTTAAAGATGCAATTAGGGTCATATAAAATAATTATTCATCTGCATTTTCAACATGTGGAAATGGTGATCGCGGACACGACGTCAATAAGAAAATTGCTGCAGCATCGTGTAGGCTGTGTAAGAGGTTTTCAGGAGCTGCAAATAATCTCTCATTCGGTTTAACTTCAAAAATTGAATAGTAATAAATAAATAAATGATTAACATACAACGCAGAAAGACTGCAATGAGAGGACGACGATGTGATAACTCACGAAGATAATTGGCTTCATTGAACGGAACATCATAAATTCCAGTTTTTTCTTCATATTGTCAGTCAGGTAATACCATTCTGTATTGTAGATCGCTCTCGCTATGGATTGACCCTGAAACAACATCTTCATAATTGTAATGCCGCTATTAGTATCTTACTTTAAATGAAATTGAAATTACTTCGAGAGTCGCTTCATTTCCAGCTGCACACCAGATGAAAATTTGCGATAACATGCATAACATGTACATCATAATTAACTGGAATTTTGAAGAAGATACGGGAATATGTGATAACAGCAACACAGAGCTACAAATGATGATCGATGATACAGAGTACTGGATAAAAATTAAGCTGGAGAAGATGGAGTTTATCTTGTCGAATAATCTGAGAATAAAAATAGAAAAAAATAGAGAATTAAATATTTTTGTGAACAATAATTATCACCATCGAAATAATTTAATAATTTTTCTCATAAATTAAATTTACTCGTATTCTATTCGTACCTGAATATCGCAACGTGAGATTTAATACACTCAGTGATACATTCCTCATAATTCTTCATGAGAGCAAAATTGATTTTGTCCCCCGTCATGATTCGCTCTTCAGAATATTCATGGATGATCATCTCCAGCCGATGCTTCAGCATCTTGAATTGCGCGCACACTTGCATGAGTAATCCAAATACAACGGTGTCAAACCCAATATTGATATTAGCAGCGATAAAGACAGTGGCAAGTTGCTGACAAAAAGTAAACCAATAAATTCCAGGATCGGAATAATCATAAGGAACCCAAGCTTTATACGGGAAAAATCCAAAAGGTATATTTTGAAAAAAAGGAGCAATGGTGCCACAGCACACGGAAGCTTCCCCGAGTCCACCATAAATAATTGTACACAATCTGGTAATGAAAAAAATTAATCAGCACTGAATTCCCTCATTCCCCTCAAAATCCTGAAAGAACACTTTATTAATCCACAGTTGTTTAAAAAATTGCATCTGCTTACCTGATGTATTCATCGACTTTATCCTGCACCATCTGAGTGTCTGGATCCACCGGTTTGTACGGATAATTTTCAAGGGCTGCTATGACTTCAACGATCTCCGATCTTTTGGAAATAGTTACAACTATTTTAGCGCACAGAGCGAGCAGTGATAGCAGCATAAATGAAGCATCAGAGAAGTCCTCAACGTCGTCAGTTATAACGAGTAAATAGATTGACCCTGATATTGTGAACCAGTAAATACTGGAGATGATGTAGCTGGTGTAGATGGAATAGACAGCAGTCTTCCAGGATCTCGAGTGCCAATAAACTGACGGCCATATACCGAAATAATAAAGGAAGCGAAAATTTTCGCTCAATATTGCCATGTCGGTTGTTTCTTTTGACTGAAGTCAGAATAATGACAAGACAATTCACTCCGTATACTCCACTCACATCATTTAGTATTCACCGTTGATTAAAAATGTCAACCATATGTCGATGTGCCACGATATTTCTCCCCTTTTTCTATTGTCCCAACGAATTTCTTTAAATTCTTCTCTAGATAGTCGAAACAATTTTTTCCATTGTATCCGTCTGGAGACAATACCACCCCTTCGATTTGCGTCTTTCTACGGAACTTTTGTTGGGGGAGAATAGAGAATAATTACGATTTATTATGCCTCTCGTAATTGTACGTTTATATTTCCCTGTACTGCAACATTCGAGGGCTCACTCAGGGAAAACTTCACCCTCAATTTATTGTTCGCCATTTCTTGATAATAAAACGTTGAGAGCAGGGAATACTCCTGTTGTGCGATATTATATATTTGTAATTTTTGGGGGTGTTGAATTTTTTTTTGTAAACATTTCGTGATGTGTACGATGACGAGAGAAATATATTCCCCTATTTTTCCGCACACTCCCATCAATTCAGAGGTTTCTTATCGCTGATTCAGCATTTGTGGCAGGAAGACGAGTAGTATGATTACGATTTCAAGTTTTATTCGACGGAGTGCTCGCAGTGGTCATAATATTGCCGACAAAATAAATTCGGAGAATTTTTAACGCGTTAGAATGCAGTTCTTCGGAATTTTGATTATCATTTTTTTGTTTGGCTTACAAGTTTTTGGTGATCAGCTGTTGACGTACCGTGGAAAAGATATTTCATTGAGCACCTGGTCATTTCAGATGGAACGTCGGTTAAAGTGCATCAGTGATAATCCATACGATGCCCTCATCTGGAATACGAATCTACAATGGAAACTCGCAGATTCTGCGTATTCAGACAGAAAAAAAATATCTAGTACCATTTTTTATGAATATTAATCCAAGAATATAATTTAATTTTTTTTCTATTTCTTCTCAGTTTGAGTGTCAAAATAAAATTTTACTCCCTCGGATGTAGTAGATTAATTTAATTAATTAATTAATTTCAGAGCCGACCCTCTCGAATTCCATTCCAACAATTTACGGAATAAATTGCAATTTCGATGATAAACAGGATCCGTGTTTTGAAAAATGGTCTCAAGTCAACGGCATATGGGAAATCGTTGGGTCCATGGAGCACCCGATGGGCCCAATTTTCGACAGCAGATGGGATGGTACGACAGCAGAAAAATTTCAACCCATAAAATAATTGATAATTTATATTCCCAGATTTTCAGGAACACACGACATTCAATACTGAGAGAGGCAGATTAAAATTAATTTCAAAATTAACGGATACGAGTTCAATAGTCGTTTCCATAAGAGGCGATGGTAATGCCCATTTTTTCGTCTGCACTTCAGAGGATTATTACCATGATTTCTGCTATTGGATTATTCTCGGTGGATGGCCAAATCACCCTGCGAAACAAAGCAGTGGAGTACGAAAATGTGCCAGTGGGATTGGAGATGGAAGTGCACCTAGTGCGAATTCAACTTGTCAAGTCCTTCTGGCAGTGCGACCCAACGTGAGTTGAATTCATTCACGTCCATCGATTCATAAATATAATATTCATTAATTCCAGTTAATTAATGCTACCAAATTGCCATTGCAGCATAAACCGTTGAGTAACGAGGAATGGAAAACTTTCATGCTCACCTGGGAAAAGAAGAATAAAATGATAACGATTCATGATCCCTACGAATTAGTCCTCTCATACACTGATGATGAACCTCCAGAGATGAATACTGAGTCATCCCAAGAGTATTATTTATTCTTCGATAATCCAAAAGATACTGTTCCCAAGATTTACCGCTTCCACAATTGTAAATAATTTGATTAAAACTTTATTTTGAGATTGACGGTTTGAAACGTTCAACAATTTATGAATAAATTTCAGATTCCTACACTTTAACGCGAATTCCAAACGCTGAATTACGATCACAATTGGGTCCAAATGATTCCGATGACATCTGCATTGACCTGTTGATAGGACTCTGTGCTGATTGTGACCTGCAAGTGAGTATAATGGATGGAGACGATAGAGCAGTGGTATCGAAAATATTCAATGGTAGTTCAATCCCTCGGAGAAGTGATCATAATCTTCCACTGTGGCAACATGCAAAGATAGAAGTGAAAAACATCTCGATTTATTCATCTCCATTCACCGTGAGGATCGTTACGAGATCGGGAAACAATCGCACAAGCGGTCACTGGGCAATTGCGAATGTCCGAGAATGTCTACCGAAAGGTAATAAAAGGCTAGAGTTCTCAGATATCCTCTAATCATTTTTCCGCAATCAGATACTTCGAAACAAACATCCATGACTGCTATTCAAGACAGCAATCCCCGTTGGTACTGGCCAAATGTCACCTGTCAAAAATTGTCCTATAATGAGGAGAACCGGATGATCATGGATCCTGCAAGGAACATGAAAGCCGTTCTTCAGTCCTCGAGTAATCAATTTCACAGTATCATAACGTGTGATTGAATTTAATAGAGAAATAATATTTTTTGATTGACTCTAGGATTTGAAAATGATAGCCTACTCTGTGAACAATCCTACATCGGCCCTTATTGCTCTACACGATGTCAGGATGACTTCGACTCGGATTGTCGTAATGTGATAATGTGTGATAAACAGGAATGCTATTGTCCTACCGGTTTCGAAGGGAATGGCTGCGCAGACAGTGAGTGTGAAAATTCACGGATGAAAATTGTTGCGAATCAACTCAAAGTTGAATAACAATTTATTTTTTTCTGTTTTTTGATAAGTCCTTCTTTTTTTTAGATTGTAATAAATGGAACTACGGGTACAGCTGTTCGAAAACCTGTGGAAGCTGTGCCCTGCGGTACCAAAATTTGGGTGTGTGCGATATTTACACCGGAAAATGCAGAAAGTGTCAATCGTTCCCCAATAAATATCTCATCCCGCCCTACTGTAAAAACGGTAAGTCTGATTCGCTATGCAAAGATAAATTGAGTTAAATATTCCATGGAAAATTGCAGATGAGGCTGTGCATCCGCCATCGGTTCCACTCGTCTCCAATGTAACCTCCCACAGTGCGCACGTATCAAATATTATTCCCGGATGTGAAAATATTGACGTTTCCTTCAAATTCCACTTGAATGTAAGTCCTACGATCTAAATAAACAAATAATTTCGATTGAAAATATATTTAATTTGAAATATATTTATTTGTATTTAATTGCAGAAAAATGGTAGCGCTGATTACGAATCTTGGAGCGCAGAAGAAACATCCAATTCCAATTCTTCAACACCTGGGGCACGGGTTTTCAATGCTCTGCTGAAAAAATTGTCTGCTGGTACACAGTACAGAGTGAGAATGATAATGTCCATAGAAAACGGCAGATTTATTTTGGAGGGAACCTGGGAAACATTCACAACCAAATGTCAAAGTAATTTTATTTTTCAGATATTTTATAAAAATCATATGAACATTTAATTTTTTTTCCCTCTGAATTCCGTAGACGCCACGGATTACATCGTCACCCCAGACGAAAGAAGTTTGACAGTGACGAAATTGCCGAATAAGGTGAAGCGCAAATACATCATCAAAGATTATCGTTGAAGAAATAAATATCGATTCGATATTTATCGAATTGGTTTGTCCGCAGGTGTCTGGTGATTCCTGTCCAGATAATTGGTACTACATTACGATTTTCTCAATGTCTCCACGGAGATCGGAGGAAAGCTCTAGTAAATTTCCGGCCAACTTCACTAATTTGAGGCCTTACGAGGATTACGAAATCGAGGTGAAGGGTCTAGATGGTCAAGTGTACTTGAAGAGACAAGTGAAGACCCTAGAGGCCGGTAAGTTTATCCTGAAATTGCACTAGCTCTCGGTAAAACGTTTTCTCATCAACAGCACCAACCGAAGTGATCAGTTTGAAAGCTGATAACATAGGGAGCACAACAGCCACTATCAGTTGGTCCCCACCTACATGGCCCAATGGAATTATAACCGGATATACAATTAAGATAAAAGTAATTATGAAATCATCCCCAATGCATTGTCTGCTGAGAAATAATTGGCGTTTGCATGCTTTCAGCCGAGCTATCACGTTGGTTGTGCAGTCCGGGAACAGGCTAAACTGAATTTTGAAGAAAAAATTATTGAAGTCGATAATCTTACTCTTACTCATGCGATAATCGATCTAATGCCTTTCGTCGGTTACGCATTTACGGTATCCGCTCACAATTCGAGACGCGGATTGGAAAGAACGAGAGGATTTGAGACGGATCCATTGGGTACAATTTATTTTGGATTCAATCATTTATTATTTTACTGATTTCAACGGATTGTTAAGTGAATAATCTGTTATTTTTAGATATACCGACGGAAAAATGGATTGATCTCAAGTTTAACAGCAAAAAATCGAAGTTGGAATGGAGAGATCCTGATTGTAACATGTGGACTGGACCGGTTAATGGTTCCCAATTATTTTTCGCTGGAGTCAGTCCTGACGTTCGAGATTTCACGGACTATCACTTTACCACGTGGCATTCATTTACATTGAATGATTCCAAACGACAGGAAATACACGGACTTGAAACCTATAATGTTAAGGTGCACCTACTGCATGCTTTCATCGCCGAGAAATACAATCCGAATGTTTTTGTTGAATTGAACTTCACGACTCTTCCGAGTGGTGAGTAAGCTGACCAATACGCGAATAATTGCTGGCATTTTTTTTTGTAACTTATCAAATGATTGGATGCAAATTAAAAAATCTGTTTAATGAGCGACAATGCATTTTTAGCTCCTCCGAAGGTTCGGAATTTTGAGATTGTCGAGGTTGATTCGGAGAAGAAACTCATAACTCTGAGGTGGCAGAAGCCTCTTGCTCCAACCAATGGTCGAATCATTGGATATGATATTAATGTTCCTGAATCACGTGTCGAAACGAAAAAGTTCACAGCCTTCCCGGATGAAACTTGTTACTTGTGGGATGATTTCTTGTGCAAAACAGTTGATCGAATTTATGAGTCCTCTGGATACATTCAAGTAACTTGCGATTTTCGGATTTAAAAGGTATTAATTATATTTTTTGAAATAATTAAAATGTTCTCAGGTCAGGGCTCGCAATGAAGGAGCGGATGAGCCCGGAGAGTCGAGTGAAAAAAGCAATATTCTAAAAGAAAAAGGTATAATCTCTGGATTAAACATCACTCTGGAAAAATACGTGTACAAATTCTCCGCGGACTTTAAAATATTTCCAAATTTTTGTTAGATTTAGTCCCAGAAAAACCGTTGGACGTAGTTCCATCGCCTTTGACACATGGAATTGTAAAGCTCAGATGGCGCCACCCGCGACGAACAGGGATTCCCCTGAGAATATTTAAAATCAAAGCTAGAGTTCTGAAGACCGACTTAGCGAGAGATTTAAGCCGAGAAGAGATTGCACCCTCCAAGGAGTTCTTAATCAGCACTTACGAGAAGATTTACGAGACCCAGATGGAACTGCTGTCATCAACAATGTACGAATTAACGATTCAAGGTGTAGGTAACAGGTCAGAAGGGGAAACGGATACGGTAACAGTGACCACAGAATCGGCCTTCAATTTCACTGAACCTCAGGAACCCGTCATAAATGATCAGGGATCGCAAATCGACATTGTTATACCGGCAATCGTTAACGATACGACTGACAATCTCATTCATATAATACTGATCGGTCCCAAACCGTGCAGTTCGAGCTGGCCGATTACCAAAAATGCAAAAAAGGATTTGCGCCTGGAATCGAGTACAAGTGCATGGCGCATTGCTGCATTTCCGGTGAGTGATTGGATGCGTAATTCACACCTCAATTCCTAGTACATTAAAAAATCGGTAACTGACTTTTCTAAAATGGAATTTATCCGTCAAACAACTGATCTCGATGTATTTTCGATATGTATCGATTCCAGACAATAGATGTTGCGAATAAATCATTCACTATCGGCAATGATAAAGTGCATGGTAGTATCGCTAATTGTCCACTGCCTAATGGAACTTACGTAGTGGCATATGTGGTACTTAATAGTCGCCGATCGGCTGGGGATCAATCGGCGATGGTGCTGAGCTGGCAATCGCATAAAGTTCAGATCGGCCCAGTCAAGAGAATTCCTCATGAGGCCTGGATAGTGCCACTGGTGCTGGTGCTGACAGCATCTGCAGGGATTGCATGGTTTTACTCCAGAAGGTAAATAATCGAATTAAAAGTGTCTGGTGAATGTGCAACGATCGGGTTTCAGGAATCGAAAGGTCAGACCCAAACGCACAGAACACGACATCTTTCCACCAATCCTTACACCTCGGAAAAGCCCCTCGTACAGGGAAACGTCTCTTCTTGTTGCGAGTCGAGAATCATTGATAGGAGCATGCGAGGTACATACTCCGGATGTGGTTCCAACCGGTGACAGAAGCCAGGAGAACTGTTCTGAAACTGTTGTGAAACTCAAAGACTTTCAGGATTATGTCAAAGACGGGATTGACTCTGGAAAACTCAATGCGCAATATGAGGTTCATAATGTGTTTATGATTGAGGCAAATCGGGAGATATCTATTATTTATTATTTTCTCTGTTAATAGTCACTCCCGAGGGGTCAGACTAAGTCTTGGGAATACGGACTACTCCCTGAGAACAAATCAAAAAATAGATACGCCAATTTAATTGCATGTAAGTTTAATAATAAAATTTATTTGAATCCGATTGATGCATTGGAGATTATATTCTGGAATCTGAAAATTTGGAAACAGATGATGAGACACGAGTGAAGCTGGACAAACTACCCGACACTCCATTCTCTGACTACATAAATGCGAACTACATCAAGGTAATCTCCTGGGATTGTTCTCGGAGAATCGATACAAAATCGATAGTATTTTAATCATGATGTTGTGGGATTCCCCAGGGCTATCAAAAAAATAAAGCATACATCGCTACCCAGGGGCCGAGAGAAGGTACAGTCAATGATTTCTGGCGAATGATTTGGCAGGAGCGAGTCCAAGTTATCTGCATGTTGGCTAATGTCATGGAAAGTGGAAAGGTAACCTATGAATTTTTCGTCAATGACAGAATTAATCTCGAAATCATTCGCAGAAAAAATGCGAGCAGTACTGGCCGGAAATAGGAAAAGAGATGACGTTTGGAGATATAAATGTACACAATCTGACTCACACCACTTTTGCAGACTACACATTCCGAACTTTCTCAGTGACGTGCGACCAAGAAACCCGGAGGGTATCAATAACATTGGAATAATCTTTTATTTAAATTGATTTGGGATCCTGTTCACATCGTTGAATCTTATTAACTGCAATAAATATTCAGATCGAACATCTTCACTACACCGCATGGCCAGACCACGGAGTGCCTCTGTACATTCAATCAGTCGTTGCATACCTGAAGAAATTACTGGCAACACCACAAGGTCATGGCCCTATAGTCGTCCACTGCTCTGCAGGAATTGGAAGGACTGGAACGATAATATTATGTGATATTTGTCTGCGGAAAGCTGCAGGTCAAGGCGTAAGACGTCCTTCACTCATTTTGTTGCAGGAATTTAAGGCGTGGTGGCAGTAAAACTGTGATTTCTTCACAGATTCTCGATGTCTTCATCGAGACCAGAGAGATGCGAAGCCAACGGGCGAATATGGTGGACAACAAGCAACAGTATCTGCTAGCTCATTTGGCGCTGGTGGAGTGTCTTCTCTCGTTGCCCACAGCAATACCCTGCAATGAGACTCTCCCAATGAGAATTCAGGAATACAAGAAGCAGCTTTCTATCCAGCAGCAGAGGTTCCTGGATAAGATAGTCCAATTATTTTTACGTCGATGATAATGAATGGTGTTTTTTAGACTGGACGAAAGCATCTGGCAGGACAAAGCGCTGCAATCGCCGAATGTCAAACCGATGGAAATATCCCAGAACAACATCTCGAAAAATCGTTATCCGGAATTGGCAGCGGTCGTCGGTGCTGCTCTACACATTTCCAGGTATCCAACAACAGATAACGACAGTGATTACATATTCGGTGTTTATGTGGACAGCGCAATGAGAAAGAATAATTACATCGCGTCGCAATTGCCTCTGCCATCGACGGTCAATGATTTCTGGAGAATGATCGCAGAATTCAATGTCGAACTTGTCATTGTTCTCCAGCCTCCCGACAAACAAGATCCTGTGAGCGTCTTTGATGTCTCAATTCTAATGCTAGATAAATTTTTTTATGCCTCATTTAATAATATTTGTATATATTCTTCAGACGTGCTGTGAATTTATACCAGAATTGGATGAGGAACTGCATCCAACGCCCTTTCTCACTTTCAAAGGGAGAAATTTCGTTGACGAAGACATCTGCACGAATCGAAAGATATTGTTAACCGATTCGTCAACGGTGAGGCCTTGAAATAAATTAATTCAATTGATTTTATGACTTCTCTGGGTATAGAATCGAGAGATTTGCCTTAGAAGTAATGAATAATGTAATAATTACACAGAAACCAGCGAAAGAGCGGCTGATTACAGTTCTTTCTTTGAAAGGCTGGGAAGAACGGAATGAGCCGCCACCAAAACCGATAACTCTCGTCAATTTCTGGCAGTACGCTGAGAAAATTCCTAGGGGAGATGGACCCACTGTTGTTCTGTGCCAGTAAGATCAAATGGATTATTAAATATTTAATGTAATTGTGGGGTAAAATAAATGTATTCTGCTAGCGATGGAGTTACTAATTGCGGTCTCTACTTGACACTGAGTTTTCTACTCGAGAGAATGGGATTGGAAAGAGAGTGCGATGTTTGTCTGGCCATCAGAGCGGTTCGAAGATCGAGATCAGATTTCTGCAGAGCTCTTGTGAGTTATGATTTTTTAATGAATATTCATTTTTGCTGAGGCACCATCAATTTTCATCGATCCTTTCTCATTTTTAGGAACAATTCGAATATCTGTACGATACTGCCCTGATTTATGCCGATTATTTTGAGACGTACGCTAATTTCACGTAGCTATCACTGAAAATTTAAGCCAAATAATCTATCTCTTCTTAAATATGTGATTTTAAAATATTAGGGGATGATACGAATACGCAATATCAATTCTTGTCTTCATAATATTATGTATTCAATAAAAATGCTGAATGCGATTTAATAAAAGTGTTGTCCACTGAAAAATGAATCGAGTTTCCTTTATTAATTTTACACTTCCATCCGCACACATCTATTTCACAAGTTTTCTTATCGCTGATTCACGTTTTGTGGCAGGAAGACGCGTTATGATTACGACTTCAATATTTCATACGACTAAATAAAGTCAGCCACTGGGCTCTGAACTGATCACACAAAAATTAACACCACCGTGCAAATGAAGCTCTCATTATTTTTACTTGCAATTTTTATTTTCATAAATGAAGTGCCAAGTGATCAGTTGTTCACATTTTGTGGTCAGCCCGTTAAAAATAAACCGTACAGCGCACATCATGCACGCCAATCTCGCCCACTTGTTTGTATCAGCGACAACCCTTCAGGATCAATTACTTGGAACATGCCCCTGGTGTGGTCGGATACCACCTTGACTCCTGCAGAAAAAAATAATTCCACAGGTACGATCCGCAGAATAATTTCTCCAACCCCATGAACCCACAATCTACTGGATTTCTCTCCAATCTTCATTAAAATTCTATTTAAAAACTCCTATATAATTCAGAGTAATAAATGATAAAAAATCGTAATTGCAAAAATTATCAAGAGATTATGGAATTTTATTGTGTCACACCCATAAAAATAATATTTATTGTCACAAAGCGTCTCTATTTTTTTGACTGCAATTCACTGCAGGTCCTTCGGTGTCGAATAGTCTAAGAAACAACATCATTAATTGCGATTTCACCAATGAGAGTGCTCCATGCTTCAACCGGTGGAATCCATACCCACCCGACGGCTGGAGAGTAGTGAAATCTCTGGAGAGTCCCATGGGACCGATTTTCGACAGTAGATGGCAAGGTAAACTCTGTCCCCATTAAACTCCCGGAGAAATAATCATTATTTTCAGGATTAAAGGAGTACCATATAGTACCTGGATGGAGAGACTCGACATTCATAACAAAATTCGGTTCATCCGGTGCAATCGCTGTTTCCATCAGAGGACATTCCAACGCTCATTTTTTTTTGTGTCGTACCCTGAATTACACAACGAGTTTCTGCTACTGGATTTTAATCGGATCATCGGACGCCAATGGGGCTGTCCTCGGGAGAAGATGTGAATACGACATCAATGATCAGGGTGTCCCTCAGAAAACATGGAGATGTCATAATCTGGGTAGATCCCAGTCTCGGGTGAGTGTCCACTGAATCTCCCGGTTACAGACTGAAATCGATAATTATTTTCGTAGAATGTACCACTGCATTCGTATGAATGGAAAACATTCGTCATAAAGTGGGAGGAAGTTCATTGGACCATCAACATATTCGATCCCAACGACATAGTCGCATCGTTTCACGATTATTATCCGCTCTGGGCGCCTTACAATGGAGATAAAATCTACAAAGTCTATCTGGATTACCTCAAAGACAGTGAGCCCAAGCGATATCGCGTTCATGATTGTAATTAATTCACTGTTCATTATTCTTTACAATTGAAATGATCATTATGCAATGGGATTATCAACTTTTCAGACTCCTATACTGTAGCCAATAAACCAAATGCTGTTTTGAGTTCACATTTGGAAATCGCTAAGACTGATACTGTCTTCTGTATCAGTCTGGCGATAGGATTATGTTCCCAGTGTGATCTGGAAGTGAGTCTATTCGACGAAAGCAACAGTATCGTGAAAACCGAAACATTCTATGGCTACACTTCTCAAAAAGCTCATAATCTTCCGTCCTGGCGACGCGTCAAGATACGATTAAATATCGATAATAATTCACGACCAATTGCCATCAGGATAGTCACTAAATTGTCACCCGTTGGAAATATTTCGAGTCATCACTGGGCGATTGCTGATGTTCACGAGTGTTATCGGGAAGGTACGACATCACAAGTGTGATCATGATTTATACACGAAGTACCCCTGGAAATTTTATTTAATATCAATTTAGGAACTGTCAAGAGGGTATACCTGTTTGCGGTTCAGGAGTGGACATCAATGAGAAAATATAAATGGCCGGTGATAACTTGTCAAGCGCTCTCTGAAGATGGTCGCAGTCTCGTAGTGACTCCCAGTAAAAATTCCGGTGATGTATTCCAGCCGACAGGTGTGAATACCATTATCTAAATTATAACGATTATTTAATAACTTGTGATAAAATTCATGGATAATGTCATTTTCGGAAGGGATTGTTGTGGGAGAAATTAATTGATTACTCTCTCATCATTACGTCTCAGGTATCTCTGGTAATAGTGAACTCTGTCCAAAATACTATTTCGGGCCTAATTGCGGGACGGAGTGCAGTTTATATTTTTCGAGAGACTGTTGGGGTGTAACAATGTGCAATTCAATATCCTGTTATTGCACTCAAGGTCTAACGGGACAAACTTGCGATTGTGAGTACTCATGTCTCACTTTACCATCGAAACAATCGATCCACTGATTATTTCCCTCAGATTGCACTTCCGGTCACTACGGATACGGCTGCCAAAAGAATTGCGGGAATTGCGCTGAAAACAGTTGTGACAGGTACACAGGAGAGTGCAACGCCTGTCAAGCATCTGCAGAGAGATATTATCTAGGGCCCTACTGCAAAAATGGTATAAGATGGTTCTCCTGGAATTGTGGGTCCTAGAATAAAAATTTAATTGCTTGTAAATTGAAAAATTGATCCTTTCAGCCATCGATATCCCACCGAGCCCAACCATTACATACGTCACCGAGACGACTGCTCGTCTGGATCTTCCAGTGCATGACGATTACAAAAATATCAATGCCTCATTTTACTTTCAGCTTCAGGTACGTTGATCTTTGTGGGTTTCAGACGATTCTAGGAACGAAAAACCTGAATTTTCACTCGCTTTCAAGACAGAAAATTCCGTGCTTTCACTATTGCCCGCTCAGACGACTCGCCCTACCGATCCTGGCATTCGCCAATCATTAACTGCTACGTTCACCAATTTAAATGCTGGAAAACAGTACAATGGGAGAATGATAATGGAAATTCAGAACATGAAAGCTACTTTGAAAGGCGAATGGTGTAATTTCACGACGAAATGTCAAAGTAAGTGATGACAGCACCCAAATATTTCACACATTTTTTTCTTCAATATTTATTTTCTAATTAATAAAATCGATTTCATTGATAAATTGAAACATTGGGGCTACCCAGGCTCTAGTTCCTACAGCGTACAGGTGGACGAAAGAATGTTGTCAATATCAAAATCTCTGAATCAGGTATGCCTAATGCCAGTTTTAAATTCCTGCGGCTTTAAGGGACGTAATGATGAATTATTCCATTTCTTCCAGGATGTACCTCATAATTGTCCAGATAGCTGGTACACTGTAGAACTCTTGCCTTCAAGGCAGACCCTATCTGGAGTCTGGCCGGTGCAACTGTCTGACCTGCCACCAGGTACTTTGTTTCAGGTCCAGGTGAAGGGGTTGGATGGCAGTCTGCAATTACAAAAGGATGTGAAAACCCTGGAAGCCGGTATGTCATTCTGGTGAGTGTAATTTCGGTTTTTAATGAGGGATTTCATCTGTTCAGCGCCATCGAAGGTCATTAATTTGGAAGTGGAGTCTGTGGACAGTACGTCGGTTGAACTTAGTTGGTACCCACCGGTTCATCCTAATGGCAACATAACAGGTTACAAAATTGTTGTTCAGGTAATTAAGAAGGCTTTAGTAATCTGAATAGGTGACGATTTTACTTCGATTTTTAGTTGCGTTATTATAAGGGATGCCTGGAGAAGAAACAACAATTGATATCCGATTTTTATGAAAATAAAACGATAACGATTTCTCCTGATGTGACCTCTTGGAAAATTGTGGGGTTGAAGCCTTATGGCGGTTATTATCTCCTCGTGTCGGCCTATCATTCTAAGGCAGGACTGGAAAATGGAACACCTGTTGCAACTAGAGCATTGAGTATGATTAATTAATTCAGTGATTGAGTCTTCACCCGGGAGACTCGTTAAGGTGGAGATTAATTTTGGTGTTGCAGGAATTCCCACTGAAAAATTTGAAGACCTGAAATTTATCGTCGAAAACTCCACTCTCACCTGGAAGGATCCTGATTGCAGCACTGTAACTGGCCCAATTGCGGGGGCTGTGGTAATTTTTAGTGGGCAGAGTAACGATGTCAAGAATTTTCACCACTCCGAGATGACGCAAGATTTGTCATTTGAATTGAATTCGTTCAAGTCTAAACACATAATTATTCATGGTCAGGAAACTTATCAAGTCAAGATTTACGTATCTCGCGACGTGAAGGGTGCGAATTATAATCCGATAGCTTGTACTTCTTTGAATTTTACAACGCCTCCAAGTGGTGAGTATAATATTTAATAACAATATCAATCTTCTGGAGAATATTTCCGTGATTTGAAGTTCTTAACTCGAAATTTCCACTTGAAAAATGGAATTTCATGCAGTAATTCTCAAGATAAAATTTTTTTGTTTACGCGTATGTCTCAGCACCACCGAGAGTTGAAAATTTGGATCTTGTGGAAGTGAATTCGGCGACTAATTGGTCAACCCTACGCTGGCAGAAGCCTTTGTCTCCACGAAATGGTGACATCAGTCATTACGCGATTGTGTTCGCAGGGAATGGTCAATCCAGAAGTTTTAATGTGGGAGTCGACAGCATCTGCCCATTATGGAAGAATTGGTTGTGTAAAGATATTCAAAATAATGCAGTACCCTCTAAATTCATAAAGGTGAGTCAATTTCGAATAAGAAATTAAACAAATGGAAAGTTTTCACGAGTGACTTTCAGGTCGTAGCTTACAACAAAGGCGCTGAAGAGTCCGGACCTGAATCTCAAATAGTAAATCGCCTCACAGAAAAGGGTAATCCCTTGAAGGATGAGAGAATTCAGTAAAAAAAAAATCAGTGCAATCAGGAATCAATCAGGTTTACTTCAATTTTCAGGAGCTGATGCACCTCAGAAGGTGAGTTACCCATGCATAGGCAATGGAATAGTAAATTTGACCTGGAGCCACCCCTGGAGAACTGGTGGCCCATTGGTAAAATTCATAATAACAATCGACGTGATATCGACAAATCTCTCAAGACCCCTGTGGAAAAATCAGACTACATCGTTTATAACAATACCAGTTAACAAATCGACTTATCAACCATTTTACATCGAGTGCATTGACCTTCTGCCTTCGACTTCCTACGCACTTCATATTCAGGGTTTCGGTAAAATCTATCCTGGAGGAGTGGCGCACGTCAACGTGACAATTCCACCCGCATTTGGCTTTGACAGAATCGAATCCCCCGTTGTCAATGCTGAAGAATCACAAATTAATATTGTCATACCTGCAATTCTTAATGACACAGTGACTAATATTATGGATGTTATAGTTATCGGTCCACGTCGATGTGAAAACACTGAGATGATCAGTGATGTTTTAAAAAATCAATTGCAATTGGATCCGTATACCGACGCCTGGTCTGTCGCAACTTTTTCAGTGAGTTTGTTTAAATTTCGGTGGCGTGAGAATTTATGTCCATTCTACTTGACATTTCACGGATTGAGATGTAAGTGTATTAATGATAATTATTATTATTGTAGACGTCAGACAGAGCGAACACTCAATTTACGATCGGCGATGGAAAACTTTATTATAATATTTATAATAATACGAATTGTCCGGTCTTTGATGGCTCGTATCGTTACGCATTTTTGTTGCGCGATGGAGAGAGCAGTAATTCAGTGAAATCTGAGAAACTGCTGAGTTGGACATCCGATCCGATTAAAATTGGAAACGACATAATAATGGAGACGTCACCTGCTGGATGGATAGTGCCATTGGTATTAATTTTGTTGATCATATGTGGAGTTGGGTGGTTTTTCGTGAGAAGACACAGGTATCTGAGCCTCCGACGTCAATTAATTCATTCCCTGTCGTACTGGGCACTCGATAATTATTTGACTTGCAGGAAAAGATCGGTTATAATAGAAACCGATACAAAATCGGATGACGATCTACCCCTGCCACTGCTTGAGCCCCGAAAAAATCCACGAGGTCCTCACAATGGAATGAATCTTCTGGAAAAACAAGAGTCCATCGAACAAGTTGGAGATGACGTGAATATCCGTGGCCTAGTGCCAACCCCGAAGAAAATACCGAAAAAACATTTGTCGCTGGTGAAGCTGAGGGAATTCCACGATTACGTTAGAAATGGAATCGCATCTGGAGAATTAGTGGAGCAATATGACGTGAGTTCAACCGATTTTTTGGTATTTGAATGTGAAAAGCGAATTGTTATTAATGTATGCATTTTATTTTTATTATTAAAAATTGACGCAGACATTCCCGAGGGGTCAAACCCAGTCATGGGACTACGGCCAATTACCTCATAATAGATCAAAGAATAGATACGCGAACCTGATAGCATGTGAGTTGATATCAATGGTTCGCCTCAAGTTCTTCTTGAATTAAATTAATGAAAAGATTTCACGGTGCAGATGACGAAACGCGAGTAAAACTTGTAAAGCTCCCCAACGAGCCGTGTTCCGACTACATAAACGCGAATTACGTAAGGGGATACAAGAAAAATAAAGCATATATCGCGACACAAGGGCCTAAATCAAATACACTCGATGATTTTTGGCGGATGGTTTGGCAGGAACGAGTTCAAGTGATTTGCATGCTGGCGAATGTTATGGAAGGCGGAAAGGTGAAATTCCGGCGCTAATATTTATTCCAGAAGTCCATCGCTAGTATCTGCAGACAGTCCATTGATAATTATTTTGCAGAAAAAATGTGAGAAGTACTGGCCGGACATTGAGAAGAAATGCGAGTTCGGGGGTATCTCTGTGGATAATATTAATCACACAACTTTTGCGGATTATACTTTCCGAATTTTTAATGTCACGTGCGGCCAGGAGACTAGGAAAGTGAGTCAATCAATACCTTCTTCGTCAGTCAATACACTCGTTCGACATTTAAATAATTCCAGGTAGAGCATCTCCATTATACCGCATGGCCTGATCACGGAGTGCCTCATTACACCCAATCGGTTGTGACGTACTTGAAGAAATTACTTGCGACTAATACCGGTCATGGACCAGTGGTAGTTCATTGCAGTGCAGGAGTTGGTCGAACTGGAACAATTATTCTGTGTGACATTTGTCTGCGCAGAGCTGCTGCTGAGGGGGTAAATTTTCCATTTTTTCAGTAGATTTTTCTTGTAAAATTATATCGATAATTATTCTCGCTCTCTTCCTACGTGATCCATGATCCAATCCAATAATTTTGTTGAAAAAAAACTGATGATTTATCATTCAAAAGAGAACACCAGAGACAATTCAAAATGGAGGTAATGAATGGCGTCAAGATGGCGGCGATTGTATTTAAGTTTTACGAATTTTATCGAATCTCAACAGGTTGTGGACGTCTTCGCGGAAACGGAAATTCTCAGAACTCAGAGACCAAATATGGTTGATAATAGACAGCAGTATCTTTTGGCTCATCTCACATTGGTCGAGTGTCTATTGACACTTTCAACGGCAATGCCCTGTAACGAAACATTACCCGCAAAAATTCAAGAACAGAAACGACAACTCTCACAACAGCTCCAAAGGTTTCTAATTAATTCCCCAAAAAATTAATCAGCATCCAAATGATATACAATGATATTTATTTAGACTCGACGAGTGCGTTTGGCAGGACGAAGCCCTGCAATCATCACCGTCAAAATCCATTGAAATATCCAAAGGAAATCTGCATAAAAATCGGTATCCAGAATTAGCTGCCGTTGTCGGACAGAAAATCCAGATTTCCAGATATCCAGCATCAGATCCTGATAGTGATTACATATTCGGAGTTTTTGTGGACAGCGCGCGAAACAAGAATAATTATCTCGCGTCGCAATTGCCGTTGCCTTCTACACTTAATGATTTCTGGAGGATGGTGGCTGAATTTAGGGTTGAACTTATTATCGCTCTGCAGTCCCCGCGTGAGAACGATCATGTAGGTGTTTATTCACTTGTTCAATTAGAATTTATTGATTCTCTCTTCTCCCTCTAAATTATCCAGTTATTATTTTCGCATTAGGCTTCGGTATTTTTCGAATTATTCAATTTATCGAATTTATTGTATCTTATCAGACGTGCTGTGAATTCGTATTACGTGACGATACAGAAGTCAAACCAACGTCTTTCATAACGTTGAGACGGAAAAATAGGATCGAGGAAGATATCTGCTACAGCGAAAAAATATTGCTGACGGATTCATCAGGCGTGAGTTTAACTGGGGATATCATTAATTAACATTTTTTTCTATTACACGAGAAATCGACGGAATTCGTTAATGTTTATAATTGTGGAATTTATTTTCTCGCAGTGAGGGCGCATTATATTTTCTTTGAGTACATGAATTAATTTTTTTGCGGATAGAAATCTTCGCGGGAACAACCAGTAACAGTTTTATCTCTGAAGGGGTGGCAGTCCGGAGAGAGCAAACAGCCACCGAAACCGATAACTCTTGTAGATTTTTGGCAATACGCCGAGAGGATTCCCCGAGGCGATGGTCCCACCGTCGTTTTATGCGAGTAAGATTTAATGACCAATGGTACTCGTTTGAAACTGATAAAAAAATTGTATCTTCAATTAGTGATGGGGTCACCAGCTGTGGACTCTATTTGGCGCTGAGTTTCTTACTTGAAAGAATGGGATTGGAGAGGGAGTGTGATGTTTCCCTGGCCATTCGAGCCATTAGAAGGTCGAGGCCGGACTTTTGTACCACTCCAGTAAGTCAATAATTTATTACTTGTCAGTGCCTCTTGGTAATTATCATGTTTTTATCGCATCTAGGAGCAACTGGAATATTTGTACGACGCCGCCGTCATTTACACTGACTATTTCGAAACTTACGCCAACTTCACTTAATTTTATTTCACTGATTCAGTTATAGGCGTATCGTGTGATAAATTTGAATTGTAATTTGCTCATTCAATAAATGACATCATGACAACTTGAAATTTTTAATTACGTCTATGTCAATTTTTTAATTGGACCTTTGCGGAATTATTCTGGTTTTCTATTTGAGGCGATATTTTTCAGTTATCAACCACTTGGTCAGTTCGCCCTATTTTATTCACACTGATGACCTTTTAAATTCGAAATTTTCAAATAAATATCAGGGGAGCGTGAAAATCGAGGAGCTATTCACTGAAATTGAAAAATTCGAATTTTTCACCACTCGGTAACTTTTGTGCCCCCATGTGACCCTTAATCAAGTCCAATTAGGCCTTAACCAAATCCACTAACCCTTAACCAAGTCCAATTAAGCCTAAACCAAATCCACTGACCCTTAACCGAATCCAATTAACCCTTAACGAGAACAGTTAAACTTTAACTGTTCTCGTTAAGGGTTAATTGGAA